CATTGACACTGGGTCCTGTGGCTAGCTGCTAACAACCAGCTGCTAACAACCAGCTGCTAACAACCAGCTGCTAACAACCTAGCTGCTAACAACCCAGCTGCTAACAACCAGCTGCTAACAACCAGCTGCTAACAACCAGCTGCTAACAACCTAGCTGCTAACAACCAGCTGCTAACAACAGGGACAGGGACCGACTGAACAAAATATTAATAAATAAATAAAAGTTTATTTATTAAAGACTAATAAAGACACTTACCTCCTCTGTCTTTATCACAAACAGACTTAATGACAAACTCTGGAGAATAACTGAACTCTGAGCAACACAGCTGCCGTAAACCGACCGTAACGTCACATTTTACGGCACAGCCGGCAGAGCGTTGCGTTTACGGACCCACAGAAGAACCGGAAAGTACGGCTTCAATTTACTGAAGCTATAAATTATCTAATTTCTGGATTATTTTTTTTATTTTCCCTCCTAATGATTCAGACTTAACTGTAATTTGTTAAAGAGGTTCTGGATCAACAGACTTTCTGAAGGTTTTTATTTATATTTTATACTTTATTTAGAAATTTATTGATTTCATTAAAAAATAACTGTATTCAAAAGAAAATAAAAAAATATATACAAATCAAAGATAGAATAAAATTAAAGGCAACAGAAAGAAGAATAAATCTTATATCTGCCCCTATTATCCCAAAAATATATTCAAACAATAATAATTTACAAAAAAAAAAAACAAAGCTCAATGAAAATATTAACTATATTCCTTCAAAAAACTAACTTTTATTATTCTCTTATACAGTATGTACAAAGATCTGGCCTTTTTGACCTCATCTTTCTCACCGTTTTTAAAAACGTCAGTATTTTTATTGGCTGTGAAAACCTGATGACAAGAGGACGGATGTGTTCTGATAAAAACTGTTTTATTAACAGAAACCACCAAATACAGGATAAACACAGGACTGTTTTATTGTTTGTAGCAGTAAATGTTACAGGAACATCAGAGCACAGAAGAGTTAAGAGCACTTGATAGAGCAGCTTTAATATTGGCTGCAGATACGAGACGCTCAGAAATAAAACAGTTTACAGTTTAATATCCACCTTTAATTAGTATCAGAGCAGAATAAATAACTATCAGATCTTAAAACGAGTTTAATCCAACAGAAACAGAAAAATGAATTTTAGTTTTCCTGCAGTTTTTACATCTGTCACCCTGAAACAGGCAGTGACTGTCTGTTAGCAAAATATCTCATGTACCACTGGACAGATTCAGTTAAACTAACTGGAGTCAACTCAATTCAAGATGGCTGCCGCAGCTGCTGGTCCTCACTGATCAGAGCTGACGGAGGGAGTGGTAGTAGCTGAGAGTCATTCTGACGTCACAGAAATGTAAAAGCTGCTGATGAACCAGAGGAACTGTTTRTGTTCTGTAACAAAGTTCGTTTAAAAAACTTTTTTACTTTTTATCACGACTCTAACGTGAAACACAAAAACAAAACCACGTGCTGCGTTCAGGGGCCGTTGGAAAAGTTTAAAACTCTTCACTGACTTTATATCTTTAACATCTACGGGGATAAAAATTAAAGGTGCTTTGTGCAACAAATTAATGACTTTTTATTATTTTATCAACTTAACGTAAAAAGAAAACGTTCATATTTAAAAACAAACTTTTATAAAACATAAAACTCCTTTTTCCTGATGTTTAACATCAGCTGCTTTTTACTCACGTCTTTACAAATATTTTACTTTCACATTTCAACACAAACATGATAAAAACGGAGCTAAAATCCAGCTGTGCTGCTACATTCAGCCCCAACATAAAAACAAAGGCACAAGTTATTGGTGATGGATTAAAGCAGTGAGGGGAGACGTCAGCGTTTAAAAAATAAACAAACAAACAAACAAACAAACAAAAACATTTAGAAACACCAGTAAAAAGATTAGTTTAATACATGAAAGTGGCTCAGCGCTTTAAATGTTTCCTTTATGATGTTCACTCACAGCAGCATCAGGATCATGCATAAATACAGGGAGGGTCTGGTCCACGGAGGTCCGGTCCGGTCCGGTCCGGTCCGGTCTAGTTCTGGTAGAGCCGGATGCGTTGGGAAATGTTGCTGCGGCACAGCGGGCAGTTCTGCAGAGCGTCGCTGCAAACCTGACAGCAGCAGACGTGACCGCACGGCAGGAAGATGAGCTGAGACTGAAGGGAGACAGCATGTTTGTTTGTTTGTTTGTTTGTTTACAGGAAGGCTGAGGGTAAACAATATGTTTGTTTACAATAAGACTGTGGGTAAACAAAAACGTTTGTTTACAACAAGGCTGAGGGTAAACAAAAAGCATCAGCTCTACAGCAGCAACGAATGTAGTAAGTAAATAAATAAATTAATTAATAAGTAAATAAATAAATAAATAAACAAACAAAAGTCGTCTTCTGATCATGAGGTGAGTCTCGGGGTCTGAACATTTCATTAATCCAAACAGAACCCTGGTTCTGACTCACCCCGGTCTCCATGCAGACCACGCACTCGGAGCTTCCTGGTCCCTCCACAGGCATGGGAGCTGATGGGGTGACGGGGGTCCCGGGGGTCCTGGGGGAGCGAGGTGGGCTGGGAGTCTGTATGACGGAGGTGCTGGGTAAAGATGGAGGGGGGAGGACTTCTTCCTGTTCCACAGTTTTAGACGTTCCAGCTGCAGGAGCAGAAAACAGAATCAAGCCTTAAATTATTCAGCTGATAAACTCCTCCCACTGCCGGCTGCCGTGGTAACCATGGAAGGCTGTCGCTCGTCCTGCTGCTGGTTCAGTTCATGGAGTCAGACTCAGGTTCAGGTGAGTTACCTGCAGGCTGGCGCTCCCGGGCCCAGCTCAGAAGAGCCTTCTGGACCCCGCTCTCATTAATGCCCACCTGAAAACAAAAACACAAGTAAATCACTTCCTGCTTCTGAGGCTGAAATAAAGTGTCGCTGTGATTGACAGCTTGTTAGTGAGGTGGGAGGGGCAGGAGGCGGGGCCCCGTCTCCACGGAAACAGAAGAAATACATGTTGGTTTTATCCAAACGGAGCTTGAAACGTTTCAAAACCACTGATGTTTTTAAACACATCAGTGGTTAAACATGTCGCTAGCCTCTCTGACGCTAACACCACTTTATCCATGCTAGTCGCTAGCCTCTCCAATGCTAACACCACTTTATCAATGCTAGTCGCTAGCCTCTCCGATGCTAATACCACTTTATCCATGCTAGTCGCTAGCCTCTCCGATGCTAACACCACTTTATGCACGCTAGTCGCTAGCCTCTCCGATGCTAACACCACTTTATCCATGCTAGTCACTAGCCTCTCCGATGCTAACACCACTTTATCCATGCTAGTCGCTAGCCTCTCTGACGCTAACACCACTTTATCCATGCTAGTCGCTAGTCTCTCCGATGCTAACACCACTTTATCCATGCTAGTCGCTAGCCTCTCCAATGCTAACACCACTTTATCCATGCTAGTCGCTAGCCTCTCCGATGCTAACACCACTTTATCTATGTTAGCTGCTAGCCTCTCCGATGCTAACACCACTTTATCCATGCTAGTCGCTAGCCTCTCCAATGCTAACACCACTATCTATGCTAGTCGCTAGCCTCTCCGATGCTAACACAAATGTATAGTGTCCTTCTCATTTCCCAGCTCCAGCCTCTCAGTTAGCGGTGTCGGCCTATCATTAATCAGATCAACAGCTGGTTTAGGAACAGATACAGCCTCCTGCTACAAGGATGTAGCAACCACTGGTTGCTAATTTAATTTTGACCCTCATACTGCACCATACCTGCCAGGTGTTCTCCTACAAACCTTCTTGAGGTCGGAGGCGGTCATGTGGCAGAGCGCCTCGGTGGTGATGCGATGATGGGCCAGGATGGGCAGGCAGTGTTGGGCCGACAGTCTGCACAGCAGGTGGACCAGTTCTTTCTCCACACCTGCTTCCTGCAGATCAATCACACTCTCAGGACCAGAGTTTTGTTTTCCAGGCTCCTGGGAGCTCTCAGGTGTGGTTCTGTACCTGCATGCGGAGAGACAGAGGTTTGGCGTCCAGCAGCCTCTGGTACTGAATCATCC